AAATTTTTGGTATTTCATAATATATACAAGATAATATATTATGAAATGCCAAAAGTTTTTATTTCTCATTCTGATGAAATAGAATATCTCCGATACTTCAGACTATGTAAACAAAATTAAACAATTTATATGAGTTTACCGACAGATATCACACATGTCACTATCTTAACGAAGATGTTGTATCACACTCTCTAACTAACTTCCATATAAAGCTCTATGACCACTAACGGATGACACGAACTGTTTTTATTGGATGGTGAATGTACACGAATGTAATAGAAATTTCAAACAAAAATACATAATATCTCAAACTGTTTTTCTAATAAAATTATTTTTCAATTACTCGTTATTATCATTTTCTGATTGCATGTTCTAACATTTTAATTACATTGTAATCTAAGGACGATAAACGAAAATATTTGTTTTAGCATAAAATTAGAATTTGATAGATTGAGCTTTAACAATCTTTATTGTGATCTTAATGATCAATGTCTTTGTTCGATGGCGACGATAATAGGTGTGCAGTGTTCAAATGATAATCTGGTATACAAAGCTGGCATACACTTTAGGGGGGACATAGGGGTGAAGACGCTGGCGTCTAGACGGTGGCAACGAGTATTAATGACCATGTCACCGGTGAACTGCCTAGTGCGAGTAAACGGCATTAGCTAGAACTTCCTCCAAGTTTCCATATAGTGCTATTTTCTCAATAGACGCTAGAAATAATTGGAAGAAATGGCTAAAGAAAACCAATTCAGCCAGACGCGACAAAATAATGCAAAAGGTAAGTCTCCCAGGAATGCTGAGAACGCGCCTCGTTTTATAAGGCATCGTAAAACCACCAATATGTACATAGGTAACGAAACAAGTCTAAATATAAAGACAAAGATTCTGTTCTCATTTTAACAATATCAATATTATATTAGTCATTTGCTTATATATATTTAAATGAAATCGAGATATTTTTTCTTTTTGCTTAGGTAATACACCTTTAATTTGAGAGTAACACGACTAATTAAATTAGGTAGATATGGTAACGGAGATGTTCGGTACGTGACGACTGTAGTATTATGACTAATGCATAAGTGGCGTTATGTGACAAGGTGGCGCAAATGGCTATGTCAGTGAGTCTGTGCCCGCGGGACCCTGAGGTCATATGTCGACCTCGACCGGGTTTCAGCCGGCAAAGGTCATATGACCTGCATTAGAGATCAGTGCACACTAGCACCGCATAACCCACCACGTGAATGTAATTGTAACTACTGCAAAATTTAACATAACAGTTTTCTAGCAAATGAAATAATAATAATAAAATGCGAAATTAGTCTTTTAGGCCTTGGGAGAGGCGAGAGTCTAAAAAAGCTAATAATAATTTAATAATAAATTCAAAATTAATCTTTTAGGCCTTGGGAGAGGCGATAGTCTAAAATAGATGTAATAATAACACACTCAACATCGCCCCGCACTAGGGAAAACTTGGGTCGCGGGTGCCATGGACATGTGTCCATGTGTCTACATGACACATGTCCATAGACATGTGTCTATGTAGACAACCACAAATTACACCCAAACTCACGAGAGAAATCAATGTAGGCCATACAACTACTTCTCCCGGCCCGGGAATCGAACCAGGGACATCTGCGTGGTAGTCAGGCAGTCAATAATTATTGTTATAATAAGTAATAATCTAACAGTGTTAGTAAAGCTCGGAAGCAAAATGATAGGCATAATATATACCAACGTACATAAAAAGATCCTACTAAAGAACCTACCCAATTCAATTCCCAACACACCATTAACAACGTATATAAGTACCTACACGTTCTAAAACAGTAAAACATTGTAGACGTCACTTTAGCAGGCAGTCTGTGCCAGCTACCAACCATTTATTGTATTCTCTGTCACTGAAAAATACCCATGAACCCTGTAAGCCGTACGTTCATAATGTAATTTATTCCCGCAAAGTCGGGAGGTCGTAAAAAAATTCAATATTTACGTTTTTAAAACCAATCTAATCACAATTTGAAAACTACGTAATACTTTACAATTGACCAATAAACTTAAGTTTATCACTCCAGTTTATAATTTATGAAAAAGCTCACAGACTCGTTGAGGTCCATTACCTAAATGGAAACGTTTTCAGAATTGCAAATTGGAAGTGTGTTTATATAACTCACAGTAATGGTACGTTAATGGTTATATCAATAAGGAAATTTAGGGATTAAATAGTTCACGTGCGAGAACCTATCACATGTAGAAATACGTGTCCCCTGTGTGGCGAGAAAAATCTACATTTATGTCCTGTATTAGACCTCGGTCATAGCTGGCGACCACCGTCTGAGCGAAGCGAAGCCGCCAAGCAGCTAATGTTGTGTTCCGGCTTGACTCCCAGATCAGCTACTTTAGACTGAAGGATCTGTACAGTTACACTACACGGTTACAGTAGACTGTAATAAAAAGGAGTGTCGAGATAGATCTCGGCACTCCTTTTTTATTGCGCTGAGAATCTGGTTGCAGAGGGAAGAAGGTAGCGGAGTCCAAAGCACAGGGTTCCGCTGGCTAACCTAGTTGAGGGCCCAATTAACTAATCAACCTTCAGTGAGGCAGCCTGACCCGCCAACTCGCGTTACGTCCTTCTGACTGCACTTCTCAGGATACACTTTGGAGAACAAATATAACCGAACTGCTGCTGCAAATGTCTCCGTGACCTTAAAGATCTCGATCTCGTCTTAATGTTGGTTCTGGCAGGTACTGACCTAGAATAAATTGTCTGCGCTAGCGTGCATCGGTCGCAGTAGGGACACTATTAACAACTCAACAACGGTCCCTAACTTGTATTTTTGGGGAGTTTGGCGTTCTTATACATATCAAAATTTAAAATCAGACCATACTGAAGAAACGTGAGCATGTGCTCTATCGTAAAATCTACCTAAATCGCAAATTTTTTACTGAGAAAATTATAGGCACATGGGCCTAGTAACTTGTCTCAGGGTGACAGGCACAGCGGCAGTGTCTCTCGGATCTTTTCGATTTAAAGCTCTGAGTAGCCCTGCAGCTACTACGGACAGGTGTATCACGTAACACCAGACGCACGACTTGTTCGTCCCATCACTTGGTATCATAAAAAATATCCCTCAGAGCTGATGAGTTGCGCTATCGTGGTGCCCAATGTTCGTGATCACACTGCCAATTTCTTGAATATTCTGTTGGCAACTGATCCAGACAGATACCAAGTGTCGGTTTGGTTCTATTAGGGACTTCCGGTCACTTTCTGGCGAAATATTTAGCAGTCAATAAATGACTGTGAGTACCTCGCCTGATCTTAGTCCGAGAAGGACCAGGCCGCTTCTCGTCCTATACCTTGCGACAGATGTCCGTCACTTCTGATGATCCGACGTGTTACGTATCTGCGGTAACTGACGATTAGTTGGGATATGGAACACTTTATTGTGATGACTTCATCACCAGCAAAGCTCGCCCTTGGTTTAAAGCTGAGTGTGTTATTGTGGAAACACTAAAATACTGTGCATAACCAGCGGCTTATGCTGGTGCTTGAGATTGTAAATCACCGGAAGCCCACAACTAGAAGGTCTTTAATAAGCCCGCGAGATTCAACAAAAAGGTAGTGCAGAAAGCTCCTTTGACCGTATTGCTCGTATTGGGGCCAGATTAACTTTATACCTTCGGAGAGCATGGGTTCTGGACACTAGCTAGATCGTTGAGACGAATTTTTGCAGGTCATCCTTTCCGCTACTAAATAGATTCGATGGATCACAGGCTAACCCCACTATGGAGAAAAAAATCACTTTGTTTATCTCTTCGCCTCCAATGTTTCTTGTAATTACCTCGTTGTGTCTTCGGAATGCTGGAGATATTATGATAAAGAGCGATGTTGAAAACATAATGTAAGTTTAAAGCCAACACAGACAGCGTCCTTGATGAATTGCCAGCGATTATCCTGTGCGTGCACCACAGTATGGAGCCCATATTCCACTCTATATTTATGTCATTGACTTATGACCCATTTGCATGAAGCGCTTTGTTTCATCCTTTAAGTATAAGACGAAGGACCGGAGCGCACTATTACCATTTAGTGGTTCCCTAAATCTACAATTTGGGGCTATTCAAGACTAGAATTAAATGTATTTACTAAATAAACGGGAAACATCGTCAGCCAGATTGTTAGTTAACGTCAGTGTACTTCGTTAAAGTATTGCGGGAGAACAATGACAATGAACACGTTGCATAGAATTAGGGGCAGGTAATGTTTTATTCCAGCATGTATTACAAATGTGTCGTTTAAACTCTGGGTCCGTCTCTGGAGTTAATAATGCACATGTTAATCAACCGTAGCTATTCCCTACCCGTCGCGTCATAGTGTAACTGTCAAAGTAAGACCTAGTCCAACTTCTAAATGGATACTGCCTATTGTATTTTGTTATAAGTTGTGCTGTATTATAAGTTTCATCTTTCATCCTAGAAAAAAAAACCGTGGACTAACTTTGCGATATTCTCGAGAAAAACAAATTTATACAATGTTAAATTCCTTAGACATACCGATACTCTATTATTTACTTTGTTTATTAGTTTACGTCAAATAGGCAATATTTTTTTGCAATTGATTAAAAGATATCCTTGGATGTAACGTTACATCTTTACGTAAATAAGCGAATAATCTTGTGAACATAGATATGAAAATAGAACTAGATAACCGCATGCCTTTTGTCAATACTATGGACGTCACGCGCGTTACGAAGAATGTAGCTTAATTATATCGTAGACGTAAGATAATATTATTTTGGATAATTTGAAATAAACCTTATGTATATGAAGATACATAAATCATAGTTAGAGCAGATAAGGCACATTGCAAAATTGCATTTTGCAAGGAGATACCCCACACCTCCTCCCAGAAAAAGGGGACGCTATTGATCTCTCCCCGTCGCGCCGCGGTCTGACCGGGTGTGACCCCCGCCCTTGCAGCCACCTGCTCGTCCTGATGTCTCTATGTCGTCAGTGGTCGGTGATCCCTAGCTTAACCGTGAATTAAGATGTATTTCTCTAAAAAATCGTGGATGACAGGGTTTCCAACGTAATTTAAATTATCGGACAGCCTAAAGATTTTCTCCAAATTGTTGACGTTATATAGACCCAATGTTTCATTCCCACGATTAAGTAGGTAGGTGCCTATATCTAACTTTGTAAGCAAACTAAATTAATTTACCGCCCCGTACCGCCACATGTTTGGTACACTCTGAGCTATTAAGGGCAATGGAAACATCCATCAAATTTTGTTGATGTATTAATATTTTCACGTACAACACATGACACTTTTTCAGGAGCTGTGTTTATGTGAAAAATTTTTTATTGTATATGTTTTTTATGACTTTTTCACGCAAAGTCAAAACTATTTTTAATTCCTATGTTTGAAAAATCGCACTCTTCAACGAAAGACAGTCATGAGCAGGGATCGGAATAGGTAGAGTTTTTTCGAAGAACGTAGACAAAAAATGGAGATTGCCTTACGACAATATTTTTTAGGTCCAGACCTTTTCGGGATTCGGAAAATCACTTAAGAATAATAAAAATTGACGTAATTGGGGACAGGAAGGTACACTATATTTATCTTAACTTTGCAATGCACAGTGGATCGGATCTGCGATATTGCGGACATTGGATTTTTTCCACGATACCACTTTAAAAAAAATGCCAATCGAGAAATCTTATTGTCCTAATTAAATATTGTCATATCACATTTTGCCAAAAATCTAATAGTTTAGTATGAAAAAAATGAAAATGTGTACTTTTTGTATGGACGTCGATCCAGTCTTGGAATCACTACAGACGTATTAATAGACCTATCTTCTATAGATATGCACACTAAACGCGAGCCCAAACCTACCTATTCACTACTTATACGCGTCAGAAAATGGGCAAAAATTCCTCATAAATACGATTATTGGTTCAATACATTAATTAGCAGTGATCGGAATAAGTAGGGTGTTTTCGAGGAACATAGACTGAAAATGGAGACTGCATTACGAGAATATTTTATAGGTCCTGGATTTTTTCGAGATTCGGGAAATCACTTGAGTAAATTAAGAATTGACGTTATTTGGAATAGGTAGGTTAGACTATATTAATCTTAATTTTGCGACGAGTTTTTGCAACACCAATTTTTCAGAATATTTAGGAAAATTCCATATATTTCTTCTAGTTCTCTAAGATCTATATATTATTGTGGTCTGGAACCTTGCAACCACCACCGTCTACGGACCTAGTTAAGACATCCACGATGATTTTAAAGACAATTGTCTGAGATTTCTGCCCGCTTGAATGTCCCAGAGATGTGATATTTGTTTCATCTAAAGTAAGCATACTGTACCTAATTGTATCTCGTTTCAAATCAATTAAAAGTATTTTATGTTGTGTCTGATTGTTGAACATAGGTACTTATTTACCTATCACGGCACGTCCGTCAGTTACATGACCTACCTATAATAATTCACCACGAAACAAAATATAACATTCATGTTTATTTCTATTTATAAATAGAAAATATTAGTATTTCTTGTTTAAAATGAGATAAACTCTGAAACAATAATCGAAAAATAAGTAATCGGTTCTCAGAAAACAGAATAAACCATCGCATCAGTTATAGTTATTTTCGGAAAGGTCAAGTTCGCAATCGTGTTGTTTACGTAAGGTGAGCCTTTGGAGGCACTTTGCTTTACCTACAGATAAAAATATCTACAGGTAAAACCGTAACAAGATACATACTTACATATATTTTCTTTCCTTGCTTATTAAGTATTTATATACCTACATAAACCACCACAGAGTACATCTGTTGTAAAGGTAAATTGTAAGTTAGAAATACAATAAACTTAAAATACATTAAAAAAAAGTATAAATAAAAAATGTTATAAATAAATAAATATTTGCAGCCATCAAGTGTTTGAAGTATTTTCAACATCAAACATGAATGTTATATTACGTTGAATGTAGGTGTACTTACATTACTATAAGAACGGTCCAAAACGCAGTCAAGCTTGACGTGCTCTTGACCCTGTACATCCCGCTAACTCCCAGCGAATATATCGCAAACTGGAGCTGACGCTAGAAGTGTAGGTATTTTTTCATTCAACTCACCAATAACAAATTTAAATGTGATGTTTTATTTGTTGAAATGCAATGCAGTTTTTAAAAATAAGTATATAGTTTATTTTCCACCTTTAATGTCCTAATAATACTAGCAATACTTAAGTATTCTCATATTTCTTCAAATACCGGTGAGTTCAATAGAACGGCAGCAAAATTATATAATTTTGTGTTGGAAAAAAAATTAAGCTCTAAAATATTTTCTTACAATTTTTTTTTAAAAGTTCTCACATCAATGTCATTTAGCGAGCTAAAGAACTTTATTGTTGAAGCAGAGAGCTTGTAGCTTTGAGTCATAAGTAATCCAAAGAGTGCACTTTGATTAATAGGTACATACCCTTAACGGTTTCAAAGTTATACACATATTGTACTTTTACGTCTTTTTTTTAAAGTCAATACTATGTACATATAAATAAACACAGCTAAGTTTATGAATATATATATATATGTTGTCTGTGAGCTTTACACATCAGGTAAGGTATAATGTGCTCTTTGGTTGAATGATAACTCAAAGCTCGAATATTACAACCACAGACAGACCAAACAAATAACGATTTGTTAAAGTATTAATAAGTAGTTGGTAACTCCAAATGTAAAAAAAATATCTAACATGAACTCGAAAAGTTACTTAATATAATAATAATAACGCACATACTCAACATAGCCCCGCACTAGGGAAATCCTGTGTCGCGGGTGCTATGGACACACACATAGACAACCACAAATTACACCCAAAGTCACGAGAGAAATAAATGTAGGCCATATAAATATTTCTCCCGGCCCGGGAATCGAACCTGGGACCTCTGCGTGGCATTCCGGCATGGTAACCGTTCGGCCACGGAGGCAGTCACTTAATGTTTGAAATGTTACTAACTCTGCGTTTTTATTATTATATTTGACTAGTGTGACTTTCACCGTGGGGGTGCTATATGCAGAAGTGTAATTAAAACCAGTACGTAAAAGTACCCCTGATTACAAAGATTTATAGCGCAGCGGGTGCAAGGATAATGTTTTCTTTCATTCAACCGCTATCTAGCCTGAAGGTCGGGACGCAGACGAGTGTGTACGTCTGACTAGTTAGCAGAGCGCGGGCGGACGGAGGGCGGGCGAATGCAGGGCGGCGGGCGGAATCGACGCTCATATCCACCAGCTCTCTCGTAGAAAGCAGTCGGGTGCGACTGTAAAAAGTGCCTCTACTTTTATTTTTGTCATTTTGTAAGAATTTTATTCTTTCCTTTCTAAATATACATATATATTTAAATTGTAAAATATATATATTTTCTAAGTTTGAATTGGGTTATTTAGTTTTCGATAGTGATTTTTTTTGCTCTGGTAATATCATATCATACTATGCATTTTGGCAAGAATTTATATCTGTCAAATTTAACTAAAACTGCAAGAAGTGGTCTTTTGTCCCGAATTTAATAAAAATCCACGTTACAACGCAATTTGCAGAATAAATAGAATTTAAAAAGATATTGTTAATTAAGACCAGTAATTTTAGCTATTTACTGTCAGTACACAGGGTTGTCTACACGATGGAGAACGATATCAACAAACCTTACAAGATTTGTGATTTGAATCGAGACAAAAAGAAGGGTATTGTGGCTTCTTCGTTAGAAGATTTGCTCACCAAAGTGCCAGAAAAATTGGGACTGCCGGCGGAGAACTTGACGGTAGTGTTAGAATGCGACGGAACGGAGGTAGATGATGAGGAATATTTCTCCACGTTGGATCCAGACACTTCGCTTATGATCTTGCATGGTAACGAGAAATGGTCGCCGAACATGCCTAAATGCCAAGTGTCGTTGGATCAGACCGATGACATCGCTCTGGGTGACAAAGAACAAGTGGCGAATCTAGTGGGCAGACTCCAACATAACTTGTGCCACATTTCTCTGCTTGGGGGGCAGGACTTGGAGTTGTTGTCGGATATGGACCCCGATAGTCTTGCCGACATTGTAACAGATAGAGACAACAGAATAATCTTGGAGCACATCAAGGAGGCTTCTGGAAGGTATGTGCATTTTGTTTTTAAAGAAATCCAAGCTATTTATAATTTATATTTACAAAACCCACAATTTAACGTCTGTTTTATTGTAATAATATAACTTATTAATTGAAGTAGGTTTTATACAAAACATTTAAATTAATAACAAATTTATATAAATTGTTATTGATTTTGTCAATTCTAAAACTTGTTTGCTGATTTTCAGAATATTGCTAGAGAAGCGCCAAGCACAAGATGCAATGGAGTTATTGAAGCTATACCACCAGAGTGTAGCCAATGGAACTGAAGATGTTTCTCCACCAAAACAAGAGCGAGTTTAATCACGGAAGCTTTTACGGTAAACCTTTTCACATAACCCTCAATTTATGTTTAAGGGATGGTACATCTCAAAAGTTTACAAAAATATTCTGTTATAAATTTCATACACTGTGCATTTGGTAAATTATACTTACCAAATAATTTTAAGGCTTTACATGCCAGTTTTAAAGCATTTATTATTCAGAGATAAGTAAACATTAAGGTTATTTGAACACCAAATAAAGAGGCCTTTTTTCTATTGAATTGTAAAAAAAATTATAAATTTTCATTTTGTTGCATTTTAAAAAAGATAAGACTTTACTCTTACAGTTTTTGGTCAAATAGTTAATAATCAAAAAAACTCATTCCTTACTTATTATTCAAGTTCACTTATTTTGGAAGCACCTATGCAGTCAATCACAATTTTTTATATTAAAGTAACATCTGGTAGATGTGTGGATTATAGAGCTAGGTTTAAAACGCTAATCTTATGAATATGAGCTGATATTGATGGATAGATATTCTAAACATTATGTACAGAGTATTCTATCATTTGTAAATATAACATAGTAATGGTGTAGTTTTTAAATGTTACTTAAAATTTATCATCTGCATCTGATACCAACATAACTGTGTAGGTTCTTTATTTAAACCTTAGTGCAGTTTTAGGGTCACATAATCACTTGTATTATAGTTGTGGACTTATGATATTGGTAATAGGAAGACAATAGTTATGCTAGCAATAGGTACTTATTTAATAACTATTTTTGTTTTGTAAACTTTTGAGACACGATTTGCCAAAAGGTTGATAATCAACATCAATTTAAAAGACTGATAGTTGGTAAACTTATTTTTTTTATATAGTTTTACCCCTAGAATAAGGTTTATTCATTTTAATTCCAAAATTTGCTCAAACAATGTACGAATATTAAATAAGTTTTCCTGTTTATTTCCACTGCCGTAAGTTGGAAGTATTTTAACATATTGATCATATAAAGGGTTGAAAAGTGATGTTTAGGTGGTGCAGGAATTATCTACTGAATTGAATAATAGTGTATCATAAATTGTAGTAATTTAAGAATGTACCAAAGCCAATCTATTACTGCAGGGATATGGCTGTTGATTTGCTAAGCTTTGCAACAAAGGGGCAGTTTCTACATTAGCTCATGTAAAGCCTCTTTTTATTACATAGGACTCTTCACTTGGAGTAAACTTATTATTTTCTACTTTTTCATTCCATTTTCGTATGAGTGATTCTTCAATCTATAATTAATTCTTTATGAATATGGATGTGGATGAATGTCTGTGACTTCATTATAAATCATTTAGAATTTTTGTTTGTTATGTAGATTATCTGTGAACAATTTTATATCATTTTTTGTTTCCTTATCTATACACATTATGTTCAAAAAACATTGTAAACTTTATTGAAAAGACACTCTAAACAAGGTCTATGATTATTATTGACATCAAAATACAATGTTGACTGCTGTACTCCTCCTAACCATTGTGTAACCTGTATGTATAAGCATTTAGAGTAAATAGGTATCTATGTTATACACTTAGTAATTTGATATAATTATGCAATTATATGTATGTATGAACCTAGTTAAGTTTTACTCCTAATACGTAAACCTATGTGTAAAATATATGTCGCAAATTCCCCAAAATGTAAGCATCAATGGTTATTTGTAAAACTAATTGTATGAAATTGTATTGTCATCCTTATAATTATTGTGGAATATCATACAACTTTAAACTTGTGTTCTGTTGTATGCAGTCTTGATTTTCTCAGCAATCATCAATCTTTGTATCTATAATGCATAATTTAAACTTTCAGAGAATACATGCTATATTATAAAATAATAAATGAACTATGGAATTTGAGTTTGTAACAATCATTCCTAATAGTGGAATTGATCAGTAGCTAATTATTTACGTGCACAAATATAATAAACATATAAATACAATGGGTTGTGTTTCTAATTTAGCAGTATAAACATGGTATCAAGTCTTCAGTGCCCTTATGTTCATATATTAATGCAATATAATGGGTTGTTTCCAATTTAGCAGTATAAACATGGTATCAAGTCTTCAGTGCTCTTATGTTCGTATATTAATGCCGGTGAAATTACAGGCACACAGGACTTATCAATTTATGTCCCAGGGTGACAGGCGCAGTGGCAGTAAGATGTTCTATATAAAG